ATTTTTCTGGCTTAGAAAGCTCTTTTCAAAGCTACGGATTACCAGGCAACCGCAACTGGGCTTGATTCAAGATCCACTGCGGTGAGAAGTGGGCACAAGGAGGGAACAACACTAAAATTTAGTGCCGTTCCCCACCACCACCTTCACTGTAGCTGATCTCGAATGAAGCTCATTTGCGGTTGCCTGGTAATATAATCTGAGAGAGACCAGTCTTGTTTGGAAATAGGCAATTAAGGCATATTGCAAAGGCTTATGTTATAGCTAGGAGGGAAATGCTAAAAGCAACTTACCTCACACCTCACCTGAATCACCTGATGCATTTTCTTGTAAGGAAAGTACTCCTTAATTTTGGTGCAGCAATTTGCTTTATACAGACCAGCAACATGGACTTACTTTGTTTTCTAAGTAGAAGAAAAGCAGAAGAATCCCAGGAGGAAGCTTTAAGTCCAGAGATGACATTCTGGTACTAAATTGCTAGGCTGCAAAAGAGTTTAACCAGAATATTCACTATCACCAAACCTGCTACAGTAAATGAACTTTAGACCTGGAAGAATGCAACTGAGCACTGATTACTTTCTGTAATAGCTGATCAGAAGTATTTGATTGCTTAATAGTCTTTCAGCTCAAGTCAAACACTGTTTCATACATAAGCGAAGGAAGTTTTATGTGTGCGTGTGTTTGATTTAAATGGACACTCACCAAATCTGCACCAGGGCTTCCACCACCACCACACGTGTGTGTGTTCTTCACCAGCTGGTTCTTGCACACAGCCAAGCAGGCTGTTCTACTGCTTTGCCGTCCTGGAAATCAAGGCTTCAACATACACAAGCTTTTAAAGTCAGCCTAACGTATGAAGAGATGCGTGAATGGTTCACACAGAAACTAGCCTTGAAGCTGGGTGCATAGGTGCTAGGGAGACGCATTCATACCTCACTTGCATTCAGTGGTGTTTTTTTCTTGTTTTTAAAGGAGTTGCAGCAACAGGAAGATTTCTAAAGCACTGTCAATATCCACTCCTTCCTGCTTTACTATGGCCTCTTGGACAAATTTCGATAAATGCCATATTTACTACTAAGCCAGCAGGCTACTAAAATGGAGATAGATCTCAGAGTTTGGAAAAGGATTGTGAGACTCAACTCAGTACAGGATTAAGATGACATCTTCTGAAGGACCCCAAGCAGGAGGGAGTGCCATCCAGACAGACCAATCTCAGGCTAATTGCCTTCACAGATATTTAAGTCTCCTGCAGAATACAGAAACCTTCAACCAGAGACTGGAGCCAGAATTCGAGTTGTTCAGTACCTGACATGAAATAAAGTCCTAACAAACTGAGGTGCACTAACAAACTGACTCCAGAGAAGACTTGCTGCAGCTCATTGAACACGTGCCTTGGAAAGCAAAAAGATGTCAATACTCCAAGCGGCTTTTATGACAAAGATCTCCAAGATTTCTTGTTTGTCTTCTCTTATTTGTGTACTTAATGGTCAGGTGCAACAACACCACATTTCAGATTTTACGGGGCCCAAAAATACCAACAAAACAGTGGTGATAGGAAACTACTACATTTACCAAGAGTTAAAAAAAAAAAAATCAAAATCGCTCAAAACAAAGTGACCTAAAAAGTAATCTAAATTTCATTTAATTAGATCTAGCACCACAGTGCTAAATATATAGGTAAAAGCCACTGCTTGGCTCTTCTTTCGTGCTTGACACAAAACTTAAGAGCTTTTCTAGACCCAATAAGGTCAGTATGTATGCGTCTCCCTACCAATTTATGTAGGGAAGAAAGATAACCAAAGTTAAGAATATAGCCTGGTAAAATGAACTACGTGTCAGGAACTACAGCAAAGGTTCCAGCTGAAGGCAGTCAACATTAACAGTTGCAGAATTGGCTCTTCTTTCGTGCTTGACACAAAACTTAAGAGCTTTTCTAGACCCAATAAGGTCAGTATGTATGCGTCTCCCTACCAATTTATGTAGGGAAGAAAGATAACCAAAGTTAAGAATATAGCCTGGTAAAATGAACTACGTGTCAGGAACTACAGCAAAGGTTCCAGCTGAAGGCAGTCAACATTAACAGTTGCAGAAGAGATTCAGAGAGCCTGTTTCTACAATGCCCTGCTTGGAGCCCCAGTGTCAAACCACACTGCACTGACTGAACCGCTAAGCAAGACGCTGCTTCGGGGTAGAGAACAGAATAAGCACAATCTTGCAGAAGTTTCGTATGTACCTTGCACAAGAAACTGAAAAGTAATACATAGTAAGTCTTTACATTGTTCTATTTACTCTTAGAAACACATAATCTTTTTTTTTCAAAAAAAAAATAGCAGCCCACACATCAGACCTGGCCTCCTTGAACAAAATAAGCTCCAAAACTCTACGTGCCTGGGGCTGGCGATCAGCTACCACAAGAGCATTACGAAGGAGGTCGGGGTCTGATCTTTCCACAGTACTGCCAAGAGAAAAATAGGGTTAAGTGTCAAGAATGGTGATAAACTGCAGGAGTTAGATTAAACATTTATTTTTCATATATTCACAAAATCTTCACAAAAGTATTGAAACTCAAAAAGGAATTAGACTTTAGTCAAATACAGAGATGAAATGTACAAGACAAATGAGCAGGCAAACTAAAAGGTCTTGAAAGTATTTTACTTCAGATTGAAAAATGAACAGTTCAACTGTTCTGTTAAATAAAGATTTGCAAGATATACAGTATTTTATGAATACAATGCTGGTCTTTTGAGGCAATGTAAAATGCCTCAATTCTTCCTTCATGCCTTTTTTTTTTTTTCTTTTTTTTTTCTTCTTCTTCTTCTTTTAGAAAGATACTGTTTACCAAAAAGAAACTTGAGCAGTCCAGGAAAAGCTATTTTCCATTAAATTTATGAAAACCATAAATTGAGGCAAACCTAAGATTCCCAATGGAATCAAGATTATCTTCCCGCTACCACCACCTTAAAATTATCACATGCTTATTGGAACACTAATATCTGCACCCTAAGAGTACATTTGCTTTCAACGATGAGGGTGATTCTTTTAAAAACACTTCAGTGTGGTAAATGCGATACAGATCTTTGCAAGTATTAAGTTTTGGAACAGTTTTGCTAATAGCAGCTAACAATACTGGATTAATATAATTTATAAATAATTGTTCCCTAAGCGGTGAACATAAGTCTACACATTCACAATAATCTAAAACAAAATAAATACTGTGATTATGCATAATGTGGTACAACTTTTACTAGTTTCTATGAACAAAAGCTCAACATCTTGTTGATAAAATTAGCTCATCAAAATAAAACATGAATCTAATTTTTTTTTAAAAAAAATTGTCAAATTAACATCACTTTTAAGCTTAGTGTTTTAGTAAATGTTACTACTTTCCATATTTTTGGAATATATGTATTTTCCTTTTTGAAGTAAAACACTTTAACACGTTGAAAATGTTTATTAATTTAAGTGATGACATCAGTTCCGGTCTTAGCATTATTTAACTTTAAAAAAATCATTGCACTCATTAGTGCCCACTAAAGGTCAGGTTGGTCTGTAGTACTCTGTAAATGCATATAAAAGAAGTTGCTAAAAGTTAACAGTACTTTTTATAAAAGCATCATCTCCAGCAGAGCTGCACTGAACGCAGCTCTGTGCTGAACACAGCCTCCTTCCTCTCTACAGGAACGTGAAAAGTAAAAGCCACCTAACGCCGGGCACTGCAGTGTCCCAGCGCCTTGTCCAGCGGTACCTGCGGGCGTCACCACGTCTCCCCTGCAGCCACGGCATCAACCTTCCTGCAGCCTAGACTCCTCACGCGACGGAACTAGACAAATGCCAAGTTTAAATTAATGGTAACTACTTCAATGAAGAAATACTAGGAGATATGAAAGGTTTGGGTCTTTAAGGCAATACAAAATATAGTTCATTATTTGAAGTTTTTTTTTCTTTTTTAATAATTAAGTGTAAATATAAAAATGCCTAAGAGGGGAGTGAGAAAAAATATTTTAATAGTAAAATTTACTTAAAGCTTTAACAGTTATCATCTCCTACAGGAGTTAGCAAAAATATAAAAGACAAAAAAAACCCAGACCTGGAAAGGGGAGGGAAGGCACAAACAAAGAGGCATGAGATTAAAGCAGCCCAGGAATGCAAACGTTTGTAACAAACCAAGTCTTTCTGTCTGTCTGTTTTTAACTGAAAAACAAAACAAAACAAGAAAAACCACCACCACCCAAAGAACCCCAAGTGGCTTATATTAAATTAAAAAAGGGGGGGCAGGAGATGACACTACCAAGAGGAGGAAGAGAGGGGTGCAACTGCAAAACCCCATCGCCTGAAATGATGGCACTCTAGAAAACAAGGTGAAAGTTACTCTCAGAGATGACAAGCTCAGTGTCTACACAAAGTACATGTACACTTTATACAAATGAAAAGCTTCATTTGCCACCATCAACTTTTCTTTCAGAGGAACAACTTTTGCAGATCAAATGTTCTATTAAATCTTTTAAATGCCAAAAAAGAAATTCTGAGCAATATAACTAGTAATGTCTCTTTATATGGATGTTAAGATGACAATTCAGATTATTTTCCAAACTAATCCTGAGAAAAAATTATGTTTACAATTTAAACAGTAATGTTATGTAAAAAGTATTAACAAATCCACTATTACAAATGTCAGTTTTCCTATATGGTCATCTATATATACAGAATAAAATGGTAAGTATATGCAAAAATAATAAAAAAAATCATGCACAAATTACTTTCACCTTTAAAGGCTGGGTTTCCCTCAAAATACAATTTTTTGTTTTTGTTTTTTTTTCCTATATTTTTATTTGTTTGTTACCACCCCCTAGACACACTGAGTACTACCCCTACAGGTCAGCATGAGCTGATGGGAGATACATTTATTTTACATTCAAGCTTTTATATCCTAAATGACCCTGTTGTAGCATATGACTTATCAAATGAGCAGCCTTTGTCCTCTTTTTGTCTTTTTTCTTTTTTTCCTTTTTTTTTTCTTTTTTTTTTTTTTTTTTCTTTTTTTTTGCAGTGATCAATCTTCATGATCCGTTCCGTGGCGAGCTGGGAAAAAAAAAATGCAGTTGCTAATCAATGTCTGAACAGTCTGAAGCTCCGGAAGAGATCCAAGGAGTCACTATCAAACTATCCTGTAGCATGAGATCATTGCACACAGAAGAACAGTCATAAAATAGTCAACTATCTACAAAGGTCTGACAGGGCCGCATCCCTCTTGTGTTTCCTCTTTTTGCCGTGGAAATACTGATGGTGTGACTTGCTGCCTTGATGTTGCTTGTTTGAGACTGAGGTACCATGGCTTGTGTTTGTTGGACCTTGGAAGCCTTTGTTAGAAGAGCGAAATAACCGTGTGGATCCATGCTGCAAGGAGAAGGGAACATGGTGAGCCAGGGGTGCCTAGGAGGAAGCAGGCAACTAGTTCTGGGTTATGCAAGCAAAAACGTGCAATGACTGCACAATGCGTTACAGAAACAGAAATCCATAATCCAAAAGGAGAGATGTTGAAGACTGCTCAAATTACATAGCACATTTGTGCAAAATTTAGTCAACACTCCTCTAAGACCAGGTCTAACTTTACACTACAGCTTTTCAAAGACTCACGAATGTCTCCAAATGCACATATTCGCATTCCAGTACCTCTTCACACAGAACTACCCCTGCTTAGTACACATGAACACAGAGTAACTGTAAGGCCTGGTCTGCAAACTGTCTCGATACCAGCTACAGAGTGTCAGGAAGTAGGAGGCAGCAAGTTTTCCAGGAACTATTTTGCAGAAATAATTATCAGAAGATACCAGGCTCTCTTTCATATATTAAAGCTGTCCTGAGGCTGAAAAAAGTACAAATCTAAACTGCTTATATCCAAAGGTGCTTTGAAATAACAGTTCTTCAGATTGAGTTGTCAAAGTATTCTTCAACATGAGAAATGCCTTAAAGGCACACAGTTCTCATCACTGGTATCTGCCTCAGGGGAAAACGAGAGGGATTTTTATGTACCTCCATCTCCCTTAATCAACTGCACTTCAAAAAGTATCAGAAGTTAACACAGCAGCCAGTCTAGTTCCAGTATACATTTTTGCTGAATATTTTTCACTAACCATATGCAAGTCTCGCTAGCTCTGGTATATTTGGCAGTAAAGACCAGATGGACATGACTCTTTGCATAGAGGAATTTTACACAACACAACAGTACGCTGTTGACAAACCTAGGTTTCCCAGATCAAATAAACGTCGGTGCAACTTTACCTCTCAAGTTTGTGAAAACCATTGTTACAAACTTCTCTGTAAACCTAACAGAGAATCAGGTGATTTTAGATATAATTTGTGCTCCAGGCTTTCTAATGGACTAAAGGTGAGAAGAAAAATACAGTGTTTTCCTCCCAGAAAAGCTACGCTTCCATGGAGGGCATTACACAGTTGGGTTTTATTTTTTGATTGTTTGCTTGCTTTTTACAGTTCACAAACCTGCGATTTGTTCGTGTTGCTGGATGTATTGGCTGTTTGGCTATTTTGTGTTTTCCCACTTGACTGGGAGGATTCCAGTGACACTTCTTGTGACCCCACTCTGTTTGTGGTAGACTGACGACAACTCAATTGTTTAGAGGTTTTGCAAGGTGTTCCATCAGAATCCTTCAGGAAAATTTAAAGTATTAGTGATTCTTTTCTCTTCAAAATAAATGAGTTTTTCTTAAAATTAAATCCAACAACGGAATAAACTTAAGTTAAAATGTGTTTATATCAAAACTTTTTCAATCCAGAATTCTTTCCAAATAAACAAACTTTAAAAAAAGTATTGATTCACGTTCGCGTTTGGGGATTTGTCCTTTATTATATTGGTTCATTTTTTAATAGAATTTCCATTCAAACAAATATTTACAAGGAATTTTGTGCTGTAAGTTTTTGTTGTTGTTGTTTTTAATATATAGGGCTTAGCGTTACAAGTCCTTTTTGAAATATGGCTTTCCCAGGGAGGGCTAAGCACGTTGGTATCTACCATACTCACTTTCTATAGGCGTTGTGTCAGAAAACACACTGCAATTTACATATAAAATTGCATAAGAGATATGCACTTATGCAAATCAGGATTCTGGATAAAAAACACACTAGAACTCTGCGCTTTCCAAATGTATTCCCTGCCAATATGTGTAAGGGAAAAACATAATGAAAAGTCCAATACTTACTACATCACTAGAGCTGGACAACGTAGAAGATGATGATGATAAGGGACCTGATGAAGAATTTGAAGAATGTTTACTAAGTGTTTCTGAAGTTTTATTTCTAGGTTTTCCCAGTGCTTCATTCTCTTCAGAGAGATTATTGTTGCACTTATCTAGCTGCTGCGTATCTACTATCAAGGTCACTCCATTACCTATCAAAACCAAATCAGAAACATCAGTACATATGAACTGCCAAAATGCTGCACTCATATAAATATATATATATATACACACACACACACTCAGATATTACACCCCTATTACAGACAGCACCACACAGACATTTGTACACGTATCTACTTGCCACGTGTGCACACACCTGTGTCTGCACCACACGCAGCAAGCACAGTGCAGAGGAGGCATCAGATTCATGACAGGGTCCCTTGTACACTGATAATTAGCTACAGCTCAAGAAGAAGGCAGCGACAAAGCTCTGAGGTGCTGCATAAAACCATTTCATGCCACATGCCAACAGCACTCAACAATATAGGTTTAAATACTGCTCCTGTGCGCTCAGTATTCAGCAGCTCCCTGTCTTCTCCTGGAGCTACTGGGATCACAAGGACTCCAGCTTAAGTCTGGCTACTTTGTATGATGCCCTAAATTGAATGACTGCTACTTAGGAAAATGAAAGTAATAGGAATGATCAGGATTTAAACCTAAATCAGATCTGGAAGATGACTGCTGTAGCTACCACCATTGTGTTCCCAATAGGGTTACTTTTATCATGCTGTTCCATCTCACAGGATATGTGAACGCTAGGAGATAACTCTCCTTTTTAACCCCAGAAACTGGTATCCACGTAAAAGAGGGTACTTTTTTTTTTTTTTTGGGACACTTCAGAAAGCAAACATCAAGCAAGATCAGCAACTGGGGACATGACTAACTGGTCTTGATCCAGCTTTCAAACAAATTTATGTAACATATATTAGCTACATTCATACCTGGACTTTAACATATACATTGTATCAGACAGTGAAGTATTATTGTGGAGCTTGCTGGACTGCGCTGTGGCTGCCCACCATTTCCAAGCAGCCACAGCAAAGTCTGCAGGCTAATAAAACAAAAATAGTCCAGGAGCACATCCCATTTACAGGGAGTGTGGGAAGCAACTCTGACACATGCTTTGAAAACAGACAGACAAAAACTCAGCCTAGCATAAAGAGTGGGCAGCTGTGTCATCTTATCTGACTAAGCTTTGACATGAGTATAAAACTAATTGTAAGCCAGCACTCTTTACAGATCTCTATGCTGACTAAATCTATCACAGTAAAATAAAGATGCTGCGGTTCAGTCCTTTCATTCTGCCACAACTCTAACTTGTTCTGGATGAAAACACACCAACTACATGACTTCAGCAGTTACCATAAAAGTAAAGTTAAAATGCATGCATTCATTTGTGGGTCAAAAACAGCAGCAAAAAAAAATCTACATATCCCAAACATGCAGAAAGCTTCCTGCTGTGCAGCCGCGCTCAGGCAAATCTTACCGTTGCACGAAGACTCAGTCCTACTTTGCATTCCCCACTGCTTTGATATCCAGTCTCTGTACGTCGCAACTTCTTGTGTCACTCTAATTATTCTACCTAATATACTGTAAACCAAAACAAACAAAAATTAGCTTTAAGGACACAAGAATATACACAATGAGTATCTGAAATTTAGACTTATAAGATTTACCTTTCAGTTTCGTTGTTAGGATAATATTTAGCTATTGGGGAAACTGCATGGCTCAAAACAACATAGGCATAATCAAAAGCCTGTTTCACTTGCATGGCACCGTATGAACTCCTCCCAACATCGTTACCTTAAAATAAGAATACAATTAGACACAATAAAACTGAAACTACGGTTACTTTCAGACAGGGCACAGTCATATTTTTTTTTTAAATTACTCTTAAATCCCAATCAATTGCAGTCACGTCTTGTAGGATACAAAAAGACTACTGAAGCACAGCTATATGAAACAGCTCAGAAAAGCTATAGATATTTACAATACCAAAGTCCAGGTAAAGGGGCAATACATGAAAAAGCAGGTAGTGTGTACATTGCCAATAAAACTACTACTCTGGATGACATTTTCACATATGTTATCAATTAATTCTTTGCCATAAGCAACATTTCATACACTATTTTTAAAGCAATCCATTTGTATCAAAGTTCAACCCTAACAGAACACAAACGCAGCAGTGAGATCACATCTACATGACCTTATAAAAACCCATCCTGCAGAGAGCTCGGTGTGTTTTGCAAGGGGCAGCAGTGATACAAGCAGGTGAAACCTTGCAAGGGCCAAGTGTACATGTATGTACATCTAGTCCCCACTACTGCAACTTTATTGCCGTTCTCAGAGCAGACATTAAAGCAATTTGTATACCCTGACTGCAGCAGAGGCACACTCTTGGATGGCACTGTATCTGCTGCTAGAAATACCCCAAATTAATTCATTTAAAATTATTCCTGGATTTAACTCCTTTGGATTAAGTCTTTCTATAACTTTTTACTTATTCAGTATGTTAAAAGCTTGGAGGATGGGGATACCTGGCTGTAACGGATCCTCGATATACAGCATTGATGGTCTATAGCCATCCAGCATGCTTTTTTGTACTTCATCCTTGGCAACGTAAGAACCACCATCCTTTATACGGATTCCAGTCTTCAAATAATTGAAGTGACGTCCATATAGTTCAAAAAACTCTATTAAAAGAACACCATAGTTGGCATTGGGCATGCAGGCATCTTCTCTGGGATGTAGCTATTAAGAAGAGAAAGAAAAAAGAAAAAACCCACATTTGCTTAAAACTCTAGGTTTCAAGAGCCTTTAAATCCTTTTGATTTTTTAAAAAAATCTTTATTATTTCACAGCAAGCATATCTAAAAGAGTAATTTTCCTTAGTAAGGCAGTTCTGCATTGTTAAAAGACCAGGATCGGCAAAACTTTTACAAATTAATTATCGCCTACCAATATGGAAGGCAATGATCAATGTTTTCACTTCTGGTACTAATCAGAGTGTTTGCTTAAAAAAGCAAAAATGAGAATTCCAGAGTCAATTTGAACTTTACAAGCCTGGTTTGAATAAAAACACAATTTTAACTTCCACAGCTATCTAAATGATGCCCTTTACTATTAAATATGCAGCTAGAGAGATCATGAGAGATCTCTCATGAACCACTCTGTACTTGTTAACAAACCTGCCTGGATATCAGACCAGTTCTTGCTGAAGATGCCATCAGTCACAGTAAGATAAAAGAAAAAAAGAGTTACAAAAACACATGCGTGCTGCGTGTTTGTTTTGTTCTCATCAGACAATGGAAATAACGCTCAGTATGCACTGAGCTCCAATGCAGAGCTTAAACTTTAAAATACTAAATACTAGAAAAGTATGTACAGAGTTATGCAATGAAATTTAGTACAAGCAGATGATGTTGCTAAAGCCACAGCTATTTTGCAGTTTTTATTCCCTCACCACAGCACAGATTTATCTCATGCATTTTATTCATTTAGTTTACCTGAAGGAAACTGACAGCCATTAAAAAGAGACTGTAAGAACCAATTCCACCTGTGAACACCTCATTAAGATCCCTCTGCAACAGGAATTGTTTCAAGACTAAAACTAGATATGGTAATACGGGATATTTCTGAAAAAGAAAAGAGGAAAAGAGAGGTGTTAGCACAGCAATACTAAATGGCATCCTGAAGCTGGCCATCCGTCTCAAAATTAAGTATAGCTCCATATCACTGATTTTAACAACAGAGGAAAAGCAAAGTGCTCTGCCTAGGATCAAGATCTCTTCAACTGTGACAGATTAACAATGGAAAAAGTTACTAATTCAGTTCCTAAAGGAAAGCAATTTTATTTGAATTCATAAATACATTTGCTTTTCACACACTAAAAACGACAGAAAAACTATGGAGAAACCGAAATCTTTTACAAAACCTTCCCGCTACAATAAGCAAGTGAGAATTTCCCAAAGCAACTGAGATTTTTTCATGCAAATAATCATACCTAAGGTGCTCTCCCTCCTAATGACTACACCCAGAAGATGGTTCAAGACAGCCCCTACTTACCATATAGGCTTGTCCCCCCCGTTCCCCGGGAAGCAGGCACACGGTACACAGGCAGAGGACGAAGGGTTTGCACAGCAGTGGGTGCTGCGGCTACACCTGCCTGTCCCCACCCTGTCAACACGGAGCTAAAGGAGTTTGGTGGCACCGGATAGGAGGTGGGGGTCATAGTACCCACGGTTACAAAAGATCAAAGGGGAAAGAAGAATTTCTTCAAGAACTGGGCTATCCAAGCCTTATCCTAGGCAGCAGAAGGGGCTGGCAGGAGCCCTACCTGACCCAAGATCACAGGTTTGCCTTTCTAAACTATTACAGCCTTATATTCACAGCTTGGCATACTGGATATAAAAATATACCAAAATCCGGAGACCGGATTCTCCTCAGGTGTCTGCACACCCTTAATTAAGGCTTCAGCTACCTCAGAGTTCCTGAATGAATCAGATGAAGAGAAATAAACCTTTCTTAAAGTAACACAGAACAAAACGGTAAAATCCAGACTGAGTTCTCAAGTGAGACAAAGTAAGACCTAAGAGAACTGCCCAAGGCCGGTCGGATGCGGTGCAGCCGGGCAGCCTTGGCCTGGGCTGCCAGCAAAACAGACAGACAGAAGAGACCCTATGTGAGGAGCCTGCAATAGTACCTAGGCTACACCTGTAGATGACTCTCTGAACAATAAATTACTAAATCTATTTTAGTTAACTGGCATTTGCATGCTGAAACAGTACTTAAAATAGAGCAACATAATTCCTGATACAACATTGTACCAATGCACAGTATTACTGATTTAGGTTCAAGGAACCTGTTCTAAGGATACAACATTCAAGACCGGTGCTAGTGCATTTTTTGCTTTGTCACTGTATCATTAATCTTCTCTGTACGTTCTTTCTGCATACCTTTTATTATCTTCATGCCCTTTAGAGCAATATATCTTAAGTCCGAGAACTTCACAAAATTGTATGGCAAAAAATAACAGTGAGTGAATGTGTACCTGTAGCGAGGATGCAGTCAGAATAAAAGAGTAAATCTAATCGAGGCATTCATCACTAATTCTATTAGAGTGTTGTCTAACCTTGATAAAATCTTTGATGAGCTGGGCTGCTTTAACCCCATTCTGCACATTAAAGCTGATATCAACTTTTACTTCAGTGAAAGAATCTGTCAGCTTAATAATAGGTACCTGCCAAAAGAAAGAGAGATTAAGTCAACACACATTTCCAAGGCATGCTTGCTTTCATCAATAATGACATGTACCAGCAAAATGCAAATGTTTTATGAGTTTATAAAGAGAGAGTGGATAAACAGAGCTCTTGTCTATTTAAGAACTCTCTCTCCTTGCCAGTCTGTTTATATAAACTCTGTTTTTTCAGCTAATAAAAGCTATTTTAAATTTACTATACTGTTCAACAAAATGCAACACTTTAAAGCTAAAGTGACTTATTTTACATTGTTTTTTAGCACCAGTTTCTGGTGTAGAAGTATAGTTGCAGTAGAAAAACAAACACCAGAGGGAGACAAATACTTAAGAAATAAAGATATCTTAATACAAACTATAGATATTGTTATGAGAACAAACCATACACTGATTTCTTATCAAAACTGCATTAATTTCCATATTAAATCTTTCTCCTAAAAACAGCTATCGGTTAGACTTGTCTAAATCCCAGCAGTCCTAAATGCTGTAACAATTAGCTTTTTCACAAAGGCAAAAAGGTATTGTGGAATTCAGTCTATCCTGCAAGAAATACCTCTATTTTATACATGATTGTACTCTGATTACAAATAAATAAATAAATAAATAAAGCATAATGCCTGCTTACCTGCAGTTAAAAAAACTTTGTGCACAAACTCAGCTCAGGAATTCAAAAGTCAGATGTAATTCACATCAATGAATGATGTAATCACACTTAAAATCAAGTGTATGCTGTGCACCCAAGACTTTCCTAATGGAAGACACGCTTCCATTGAAGTTGTATCAATTATTTGACAGCAATAAAACCATCACTAAACAAATTTAAAAAACAGTCTAGCCTGAATGTATGTGCAAAGTAGTTTCTGGTTATGAAAATTCTTCTGTTTAACTGATATATTTCCTCAATTACAAATTTAATTTAGAACAGTAAAAGTACCCTCTTTCCCCAAACTTACAGTTGCTTTATCTAAAACCTTTACTGAATTTTCATCTGCAACATTGTGCTTTCTAAGAGCTTCTTCCAGGGTCCAAAGAGGTAATGTCTCCCATTTTCCGAACACAACTAAGTCAATATCACTGAAATGGAAAGAAAAATAGGAATATTCAAATTAAAAGACTAACACACTTAAAGACAACAGAATTACACATATAATGAGAAGAAAGCTGAAGAAATACAGCTTAACCAAATAATTTATTCTTGTTTCTTGGGCCAGGGTAGTGGTGGGGAAACTCTTACACTCTGGTATATATGAGATGTTCCAGATTACTAAGGGGAAGAGACAGACACACCTCCTCATCAACTGGGTTGCCAGAGCCAGAGGTTAGTCTCCTCTGGCCACGCTGCCAGCAGAGAGGCATCAGCTTCTCCCAGGAGCGATTCAGAGCACGAGGTGAACTTGTGAGTCACCTCCTTGGAGCTGTATTAATTTAACAACTTGCCACGAAAAGGGAAAGTCTTCATCACCTTTCCCACTGCCAGATCCTGTCTTCTCTGTCCTCCAGGTCTGGTATTTGTCTAACTTGCAGTAAATCAAATACTAGCCTGGTAAAACCCTCTCCTCACTATAACATTGTAAAATAAAGCCAAAAAAGCCAACTTCTGGGGCTAACTCCCTGCCATGTAACTGCTTGGAGCTGGTTTCTGGGCACATGGCAGGCGGCAGGGGGGTAGTGCTCAGGGAGCCGGGAAGAATAAACAAGCGTGGCCATGATGACTTCAGGAAGCAACAGGCTGTTAATGACACCGAACCATCTAAGCAACCTCACTCTAATCCAGCTCAAGGAAGGAGCTCTCCCCTCCCTCTGCCTTTCCCTTATCAGGTTCCCATGCCTCACTGCACTATAGAGGGACCTCAGACCTTATCTCAAGGCCTAAACTCAAATTCAAAGCACAACTGCCACCCGAACCGAACCAGTCTTCTTCACTGTCACAGTCCTGAGCTCCTCCTTCTCGCTCCTCTGACTTCTTTCCCCAGTTCCTCCTGCTTGATCAGGGCGCACACAAAGCGAGACACTAACTTCAGCAGTATGGAAAACTGCATGATATAAAAATACCAGAAAAAGAATCCACTTTTCAGACAGATTTTACAGGTTTGCCGATTCACAAACAGCACTGCTTTCACAATGTCAAAGTGCTCAGAAAAGCTCCAGCTGCACCAGTGCAGCGTCTCTCGCCGACAGCAGAGCTGAGCAGCAGCTGAGGCGCTCGCTGTGGCATTGATGGGGCTGCTGAAGCAATGGGGCCGCTGAGGCGCTCGCTGTGGCGCTGATGGGGCCACAGCACCGACCCGCGGCCCAAGCTGCCTGGTGAGCACGAGCAGCGCCCCGCGCTCCTTGCGTACCTACGCCAAGCGAGCATGGACCCCTAGGCCGAGGCTGGCTCCCAGCAAGAGGGGAGATTTCCCTCACACCAAGAACAGAAAAAGCAGTTCTATTATCACCTTGAATACACGTTACCTGTGAGATCCAGCAGCTGAACAATAATCCAAATCTTCAACATCAGCTTAAGTAAAAGGATATTAGACGAATTCTATCATAGTAACAGAATTAGAAACACAGGGTAGGTTTTCCTGAATTCAAGATCCTGACACCTAGCTTAGCTGGACAGTTTTACTGAAGAGGGAGGGAAAAACAGGACAAAGGGGAGCTCTGTGAGAAGGTAACAGCCAATTAGTAACAACCATGTGAACTTGGGTTCAATTTAAAGTCTGAAAAGTACTGCCACAGGAAAGGTTTTTTTTTCCATGGGTTTGTGCATGTTTCTTCTCTTTTTTTCTTTTCTTTCCGAAGTTACTCTCCACCAAAAAAAACTCAGGAACGGAAACCAGGAAAGAAAGTAGAGGAAGCCAAATGGTCAACAGTAGATGTTAATATATATATATATATATATGTATATATATGTATATGTATGTATATGTATATATATGTATATGTATATATGTATATATATGTATATATATATATGTATATATATGTGTATATATATATATACACACACACACTTATGTATTAAAGAACTGCAGTTATCAGTCACATGGATGAGAATATATCTCTTGCATTACCAGTATCCAGGTTAATGAAACATATTAAAAATAATGAAAAAGCCCAAGAAGGACACGTAAAAAGCTAACATGTATTCGTATATCAGATCTCACTTGAGACTTTCCAGAAAAACACTGAGCTATTCAGCTTTCCTTGCAAGTCCTTACATAAGAAACTATCCTTACAGAATCTTTGATCATCTTACAGATGTTTTCTTTTCAAAAGGAGATGAAACAACAACATAAGTATCTTTTACTTGCAGTCAGTAATAGGTATTAATTCCTCATGTTCCCAAAAAATACCTTGGAATACCTACAAAACTGAATTCAAGTACTAACCTCAGTCTTCTATTATTTCATTTATCCTCAGCAGTCACTTAAGCCTTTTTATTCTGTTTCATTGTCAAAGGTACTTAAAATCTCTAAATTTCCAGTGACCTTTCTTTATGAAAACTAATAATGGATTTTGAATGTAGAGGTTGGCTATTGTATAGGTTTCACAAAAGAAAACAGAGGGAACAAAACAGAAGCTTATATTTAATCTATGTATACTATCTTTAACTTCATTACTAACATTAGCTTTAATAAGATAACATTAACTCTTTTGATTTAATCTTGTGTGGAAATGATGAAATTTAGCTTTTCCTTTAAGGCCAGCCTCTTGTTTTGGTTCAGTTTTGGTTCAGTCATTTAATGAAGCTAAAGAAAATAAGCCTTTTGCGATAATGCAATAATTCAAATCGTTAACATACACAAACCTACACAGAAATCTGTATTATAGTTAATAGTATTAATTATATGTCCATATATTTGGCAGAATATTAATAGCTTAACACTTTCTTAATTTAACAAGTATACACACAGTAACACAAATATTAGGAGACAAATCACTACAAGGGTATCTTCCACAGGGTAATTTTTTTCTCATATAGAATTTGCATTGCAAAAATACTAACCTTGTAGGCAAATATAAACCAGTTTTAAAACTTCCAAATATCTGCACCTGAAAAAACAAGAATAGGATATCAGAAAACATTTTTAAATACTTCATAAGTCACCAAAAACACTCTTATCAAATAGATAAAGGTTGACCATTGCTTCCCTCCATTGGTAGACTTTGGTATTGCTAACATGAATATCATGCACTCTTTTCTGTTAAATATTTAGATTTTTGTTTCTTTATGTCATATTAATCTTCTTGGTTATTTCCTGTGAAAGTAACCTTAATAACTACACTGATTTTTCTATTGCAATCTTTCCAATATAAGGATTTTCACAAGGATCAGGTCTGGCATAAAACTATAGAAGATAAGGTTTTACCACACTGAAGAATGACAGAACATAAAAAAAAAAACAGTAATAGCAATATTTATTTATTTATTTTGCTTTCATGCCTCAAGCTGTAAACCTCACTTTTTAAAAATGTTTTTCTATATTTAAGGCATATATTTTTAGGAACGTTTGTATACTTTTACATCTATAAAATGTAAAATTACATTGTTTTACATTTGTAGTAATTTTTGCCAGAGAGTCTTCTGTTTCTGATGTGTTTCCCAGAGCGACTGTAGAGATACATATTCTGCATTAATCAGCCTCATACACTACCTCGATTTCCACTGGTTTAAGTAGGAAGTGACCCACTTCTTATGCTTTTTTTCTTTGGAGACAGGAAATGGAGGAGGTAGAAAATGAAGCTGTTCTGCAAATAAGTGTCTAGATACTTTAATACAGCAGCAGCAGCATGAGGGCTCCCTCTTGGTTACTTTCTGTCATTTTACATGCTCCAACAGAAAACACACACTTGGAGTAAATTTAATTTCAAAAGTTCATTGCTTCTCACACTAAAAAAAGGACCACAAAAAATGGCATCAATATTTTACTAGATTTTGACAAAAGTATAAAGGCACCGCAAATAACATAATAATAATAATGTCCATTTTAATCCATAATGATAACAAGGACATCCTCAGTCAAACTCTATTTTGGTTCAGGTAAACCATGATTTATTTCCCCACCAAAAACACCTTAAAAGTGCTTTTGCACAATAAAACAAACACTGCTCAGGGATTCAGAGAAATCCAAATATGCTTTCACATTATCAAAAATAAGTGTTCAACAGAACAGCAAAAAGGGCCTTTATTGAATAAACAGTCCTGAAAGTTTTCATAAACTTACTGATACAATGCATATGACCTCTTCCGAAAGGAATGAGACAACATCTGCTATTGTAAAATAAATTGCGGAGTGTGATAAATACTGGATTATTATAAAAGAAACCCACACCCACTCTTCAATCCCTCTCTCAACAAATCTGGAGAGATGGAAAGGGAAGAGTGGGGAAAACAGAATGGAAATTGCTAACGGTTTTGATTTATTATCTGAGCAGAATTTAGGCCATTGGAGCTCTGTAACCATTTACATCTTTAAAACATGAAATATAGGTTAGTATTATATCACAAGAAATGTGCAAATTAGTTTTTGTGATGTGTTAAACATTGCTGTTTATATTTTTAGCTTCATAGGTAGAGATGTACGTTTGCATTCATAGGAAAATTTAATACTTCACAGTACTGTAATGGACTATTGCTGTATGTTAGAATTAGTACTTATCCTATATGCTGGCAAATGTGTTCATGGTGTAGTCTAAAGTTTCTGAAGGAGCTTTAATTATGGTGTGTGTCCAAACATGTCCTCACTAAGCACATCAGGTCTTGAAAACCCCACTCAAGCTTCCTAAGTCCTTGCTACCAAAATCCCCTCAATCGAAACAAAACCCTACCCATAGCAAATTTAAATTCCTCTTTCCTTTACATGATTAAGTTAAAGCAATAAATTTTCTGTGGTTTGTCAACACAGAATTATTCTTTCCACTCCTTTTACTATTTCATAGTATTTTTGTAACCAAAGTACAATATGCAATATTCAGACACAAAACATTTCAAATGTAACATACAGATAATTGCACATATTAATGCTTATTATGCTTAATACAAATTTTAACATTCAATTGCTCAAATATCTTTGACTTAAAATGTTTTAATTTAGCATCTTGAGTTGCTCAGTTTAAGTGTAATTAAAGCCTTTTTTATGGTCAGAGTCTAGCTGGTGCCAAGAACAGTTCTCACATACTAGGAATGTTTCCTTCTAAGCACATTCCCCTTGAGTAAGAGGGCAAATGACACAACTACACAATTGCTAACTTCTATAAATAAAGTAGCAGTTTAGGCTACCTAGTTTTAACCCCATTCATCTGCTTTTTTCAGTCTTTTCGTAAGTGTAACAAGAAAAAAAAGTATGTATACACACACACACACACACTCCATGCAATTCAGTTTGCCTTACCAAGCCTTATTTACTTTTCCCAGTATCCTATTTTATAGCAATTTGAGTGCTTAAAATTTGAGTGCTTTTATGAGAAAGTGAAATAAATGTGTAAGTTTAAATTCCAAGTTTATTTGCTGCATCTAAGAATCAAAATGAGCAGCTTAAACATTAACTTATCACTGCGCACTACAGCTAAAGCTAAGGACATTGGACTGAATACCACTCCACCTTCTCAGAGCACATTCTTAAATCTTAAAAGTAGCTAAACCAGCACTAATTTCAGAAAGGTTAGTGATTAACTCAAAAGACTAAAAGATTACAACAGAAAAATGTCCAAGTTGAACACAGTGGATCAGATCCCCAAACAGATCTGTAAGGTAAGTATTAGAAAAACAACATTGCAGGTTATAATCCAGTAGAAGGATGCACAAGTGGAGAATTCTTCTCCTACACTTTCTAACACCACACGAAATACAGTTAAGACTTAGAAGAGCAGTTACTGCCTTGAGAAAAAGAAGCTGAAATGTTCTCACTCTCTGATGGCTGTTTTAACTGGAGCAATTGCAAAGTGAAAGCTCACTTTTCAACTCTTGATACATCTAAGTGATGTTGTAGCTAAGCCCAGCAGTTAACTGCTGAGACAGCCTTCTTGCCAGTGCCCACTGAATCACGTTTGACCTCCTTGCCAGGACCTCCAAACCCTTTCCTGGAAAACTGCTCCTCAAACATTCAGTCCTCAGCCTGCCCTGCTGCTTGGGACTATGTAGTCCCAAGTGCAAGATTTCTCCTGTACATTTGCTGGACTTCACAACATTTCTATCAGTTCACTTTTCCAGTTTGCTGAGTCCGAGTTGTGGCCAAACACTCCATGTCAGCAGTCTCCCCAGCCTGGTGTCATTCATTAACTTCCCAAGGTTCTGCCTCAGCATCGAGCTTGCTAAGGAAGATGTGAAACATCGTCAGCCCCGGCTCTGGGAATTGCTGCTGAAAGTTTGTCTGGCAGCTGGATACAGCTGCTGAACACTTGCCTTGGACCCAGCAGATGAGTCGGGTTTTATCCCCCTCTGTAGTCCACCTACCCAGGCTCTATCTCCACAGTGTGGTTTTGCTGATGCTATGGGATGCTGTCCTGGCAGGCTGATGACTGGATTTTGTAATGAGTTTTTGTAGACACTTGAGCAAGGAAATAAAACACATATTTGAATAAGAAGAATTAAAAGATCAGGGTTTGTAACTTGCTTCCTCTTAAAAAGATTACGGTTACAGAAAAACTTTTTTTTTCGAGTTCTCGGAAGCCTAAAAAACATAAGTCCATGTGTCCCATTCAGGGTGTTAGTGGTAAAGAAAGATCTCATGGTTCTAAGTCCATTCACCCCATTACACAACTAAGACCGGAGCACACGGACCCATCCAGGAAACACTGGCACCCTATTTAGGTTGAAGCAATCAGTTATTTTGGTGAATCCCCTACCACAAGCCTTTGGCAGGGTACACCACATTAAGGACTTTTTGCACTTGTACTGCTCCCCATACTACATCCTGTCACACTGGCACCTTGCTATCCCTGCTCTTGAGCGGGGCCTACACCCCTTGCCGTAGGTTAGGAGAGCTCCATAAAACATCCCGGATGGCAGAGAAGGCTCTGACACAGTCCCCGTGAAAAGGTTCTTCCCTCTCCTTAAAGAGCAAATGATCGGGTTAAGTGTTAACCGTATCTATGTTTTATAACTGCACAAAGCAGGCCCTGAAAGGAGTGTGCCTCTTCCTTTTTATGTATGATTAATACTTTATTCCCAACAAGTTAATACATATAACCTCTACACAACTCAACACACATAGCTTCTGTAGCATTCCAGTAGCCATATTGTGCCAATTCCTTAAAGTATGTTCAAAAAAGCAGACCAAAACCACCTGAAACGAACAGTGGGTTAAAGTCAGCCATGTCAAAATACTATCTTTTACCATGACAGGGTCAAAGACCACTTCTGATACTGTTGAGCTGTGTTATTCTAGAAATGAGGATAACCTCACTCATTTCACCAAAGCACCCCCCGTGGTTTTTTTTTTTTTTTTTTTTGGAATGTGGAAGTATTTTCATTATTCAGCATTCACAAGCAAAATAGCACAGAAAATTGGTTTTATGTTTTAACAGCTAGAACAGTATCCTACTCACATCTGCATTAGGCCAGAGCTCTTTAATAACATTTTCTATCCTATTCACCACTTCCATCCGCATTCTCTCTTCTTCAGGTCTGGGAGACATATACTTATAAAAGTCAATAATTTCTTCATGGAGTCTAAGAGGAAAAAGAAAGATGAGTCAAAAAGAGAAAAAAAGAAAAACAAGACAACAAAATAGCAACTACTGTAGTATCCTTTTTAGGTTACAAGTTAATTAATTAGTTAAGGGACAGTTTGAGTAGCATGTAAGTTTTAAAAAATACAGATTCTCACTTATTAACATTTAATTTCAGATGAGTTTCCCATTGCTAAATAGTGTCAGAGTTCAATATTATAATATATTTGCTCGAGGAAAAAAAGGAAGCAAAACCAAACCCAAGCGTCTTCAATTCATAGTATAAGACACACTACGTCTTTTTAATACCAGCATTGTGCAGCATGTTTCAATCTTCGACTAAGAATGCAGCTGTAAGCTCAAAGTGCACACAGGCCCAAGTTTAAACAGAATCTCAGCCAACACTTTCTAGTCAGCCCTTTGGCACCAGTTAGGTAGTTTCAGGCATCAGACTCTATTCAGTTATCAGGCTTTTAAAAAGGTGTTAGCGATTGTGCTAATACTATAGCTGGAAGAACCGCTTCCTTCACTGTTTTAGAGACAACACAGATGCTTAAATATGCATAACAAGGAAATACGTAATATGCACGCAGTAGTGGCTTAAAACAATGTGACTGACAGACTGTTGACCAATCCATTTGAGATGCAAGTTTACCAAATTATGCAGGTTTCTTAGAGCAGTAAGCTGTTTGCATTGCCCATGATTACTATAGTTAAAGTAAAAACGTCTTCACACTGTGCCACAAATCTCTAGGTTTCTGTAACATCATAAACACACCATCATCTTGACCAACAGAGGAAAAAAAAAAAAAAAAAACAAACAACACACAGATGCAATCCTTGCAATCCTTTAATTCCTGCAAAATTAAGTGTAACTCTGGCACAGAGGAGCTAAATTAATTTAATCTATTTCTTACAGTGACCGTTACAGTAATAGGTGGTTATTTATTTTCAGCAAAAATGTATTGTTTTCAGTTAACAACCCCAAATGTATCTTGCCTGAAATCTTTGAGAAATCTCTGAGGAATGATCAAAAGAGCGATTTATTAAGAGTAAATCCTTAGGTAAGATACGCAATCCCATTGCATGTACTTAAATAAATTTACTGTTAATAACTGGAAGATGTACACAGTATCAAAGTATATTAAAATATCCAAAGTTATCTTTAAGAGAGCCAAGAGCACAGACAGAACTCAAGCCAGCTGCTTTATGTTCTTTAATACTGCAGTGTGACAAACACCACAAACTTCCTTCCCTAAAGGACTGAAGAATAAAATATTTACATTACTTCTTAGTGAGCATTTATTGGAATTCCACCACCCCCCTCCCTTAGGGGAGCAGCCATGGAGGGCATCCAGCCGAAGGCGACGGTCCCCACGGGCTCTGGGCAGCTGCTGCAGAGAGAGCAGCTCCTCCAAGGGTCTGCCCCAGCTGCCCGTTCAGCTGGGCTAAACCAGCCTTTAAAGAAGCTTTTCTTCCTCTCATGTCTAGATCCCAAATGCCAAAATCCTCCCTGCATGCACCCAAAAGAGCCAAGTGACACCTTTCCCCCCGCCCTTCCCACCTCACTGCACACTGGTGTGAGCTGTATTCACACACAGTGTTCTCAGGTACTGCAAGGATGCCTTCGATGTTGCAGCTGTGAAATTCCTACTGATAAATGCTGTTTGCAGCACTTATTTTGATGTTGCTAGGAAATTTCTTACCTCCTCCTACTGCTGCTTTCTTGCTGCTCTTCAAAGTTTACAGCTTGGGGCTAACATACACATTCCAAAATACTACTGCCATCCCTTATACAGCTATCCATTCCTTATCTTTTGGATTTTCAGTGATCTCCTATTCTTCAAGCAGTACTTTTCCTCAGCAATACCACTGAACTTCAGTGTGTTGGTACTTAAACGGAGACAACTTTCTTTACTGCTTCCTCCTTTGCAGCAATTTAACTCAGAGGAGAAGTGTGTGATAAAGGCCAAGTTGAGCTCTCCAGCAACCAAGTGCCTTCCCCTGTTCCCGCTGCCAGCCGCACATACTGAATGGCTAATTTAGTTCCTGCACTGCTTGACTATTAAGGTAACATTCAAAAGCAGCAGCAGCAAGAGGAGGAAAATAGGCAGAAAAAAATCACACCCTAGAAAACACCTTTAAAATAGTAATTTAGTCAATCAGCCTACAGACTGGGAGACAGTCTTGAAAGTTCTGTACTTGCACTGTGGACTGCTTTGAGGGGGGCTTAACTAAGTAACAGCATAAATTCTGTTCTATACCCCAAACACGCTGGTTACACTCACAGCACAGATGTGATCCAGCTCTCCTTCTAGCCTAAGGGCTCCTGCGCATCCGCCCCAAGGGAGGTGGGAGGTTTCCTTTTCCCAGGAGTGAGCTTGGAGAAACCCAGACAAGCAGCGTGCGCTCCCCGAAGCGGAGCACGGCCCGCGCAGCAGAGAAGCTCAGTCCCCTGCACGCTTCCTCCTCTGTTAACTCCGACAGGCACCGCTGCGATACCTATTGCATCCGTTGGTGCTTTGTTGGAACCACCTTCCAAAATGATGTGCTGTCTGAACCCGACGTCATTATTTTTCTAAGCTTCAGTATTCATTATGTATAGCTGCATCTTTTCCAATAGAATCATTCTTACTCTTAGATAGCAGCGTAAAGCCTTAAGGCAAATACAGAAAGTTATGCAAACTTCCATTACAGATGCACTGAACTTCACTAAACTATGTGGATATAAACAAAAATAAACTTTCTCCATTACAGAAGAGTCTCTTTAAGACTACTACAGAAAATGCAGATGGAAATGCACAAACATAGCTCTATTTTATCTGCTCCAGCAATCTACAGTGTTGTACATAAGCACCATACTTACAGGCAGCCAAAAGTTGTAAACACTGAAGATTGCCCAGGCTGTCCCTGTAACTGCCTTTCCCTGCTCAGTACAATTCTTGCAATTCTGCCAAGAAGCAGCAGAACAATTAATTGGAAAGCCAAGGCAAATACCTGTAGCTACATGCAGATTTCGCAGCTACACAACACAGCTTAGCAGCATGACTAATTAATGCAGAGTTGACTTGAGTTGTATTGAAAATTAAAACTCAAGGTTATTCACTGTCTTAGTCAACATTAAGTTTTAGTTGCTTTTTCTCAAAACAATTTGTTTGGATTAATGGAGTCTGTTTACAAGAGTCTCTGGTGATATTCTGTATTTTTAGACAAAATGAAGATCAAAGAGAACCAGAAGTTATTTTTGGCATCTTAACACTATTTTATTATTTAATGCCACTACATTCATTAGTTATTTTAGATAAAAGACTTTTAAGAGAAGACTTGTTTTTGAAATGAAATTACACTGTAATAAACCTGACTTCACTATCTAGAGGTATTTTCTCTTTACAATCATTGATTCCATTCACACGTATTTCTAGGAATCATAACACATGAAAATCTCTTACACTTGCTCTGAATATATTTTAAAACAGTGGTAGCTGCAAAATCTCCTATCATGAAAGCATATTTTCAAGCCCTGCAAGCTAAGTTCTGTGTTCATTAGAAAATACAACCAAAGTTTTACACATAAACAGGAATAAATGTATAGAAAACAGAAACCACTACATTTAGAGGACCATAATGTTCATTTTATTTACCTAACAATGAAGTATCTTTAAGAAATAAAGACGGTCCCAAAAGTTATAATCGCAGCGAGAGGGACACCCAACTCTGTTCAAGTCATTCTGGTCAAAAACCTCAACTTTTTTGCCAGGACAAGAACTGCACAACTCGTTACACTTCCCACTTACTTTGATTACACCTTGCTTTGCTCTGGGCTGTGCAACTTGGGCTTCCCAAATTAGTCTACCCATATCCAAGCCACTCCTCATCAGGAGGACGAATCTTGCTGCGCCCTGGCAATCAACTCAAAATTAACCATGCACAAACAAGACTTCGTTCTTTACTTGCACACACACAGACCGACAGACACATGGACAGTCACATACACTTGACACTACACGTGTGTTACCTGAAATAAAAAACAGCAGAACTTATTATTTCTGTAAACCCAGATCTGGAACTAAAAAAAAAAAAAGTGTGGTTTACACCTTTGCCAAGCACAACAGGCACTGAGATAAAGATGCTGCTGACTCCTTGTCACCACAGGTGTGCACAGAAGAGCAGAAACATTTGCCCCTGCATGCTAACACACAGCTTCTCCTGATCAGAGAAATAACTTCTCATTGAGAAGCTTCCTGCTTCTGCATTCTGGAATTGTGTTGTTCTTCCACTGTCCTCTGGTTCTTCTATTTCACAGGAGGAGTTACGCAGACAGGCACGCTCTGATTTCTTTCCTAAGAGAGTTATCCACAGCTTCGGCTCCTACTATTAACAACAAGTGCATTTTAAAGTTTGCCAGCCCATCCCAACAAGTCCCCTCTGCCTTAAGTGTGTATATGCCTTATTTTTATAACAAAATTACTGAAGATAATTTACAACAACGGGTATTAGCCATAAACACACACACACACAGTTAGCTCACCACTTGCCTAGTACTGATTTGCTACAATTTACTCTTTATCAAGATTTTCTGAAGAAAGCTATCTTTTCAGAAGGATGAAAATACAAATTATTTGAAACCTTCCAGGACTGTGAGTGGAAGCAAGCAATGACACACTGGTGACTTACTTACCCAAACTATATGCTCTAAGATAAATGACTTCTTAAGAACTTCATTTATTTTACACCCATACTTGGATGGGATATCCAGAATGTACCCCCTCTAGGGCTGAATAAGACTTCTGTACCTGAATTTTCTTTGGACTAATAATTCCTATACATCATGCTTAGCTGCCTTCTTCCCCTCATAGTGCAATTTCCTTCTGAAGAAAAAAAGAATCAAATGCAAAATAAAAATAACAAAAAAAATCAAAAAAACACCCTAGCATATCAGTTCTATGCATATCTTATTTTTTTTTTTTGGGGGGGGGGACGGGAAGGAACCTTAG